TTTTTTTTTTTTTTACTAATTTTAGCTTATTTGCTTATTTCAGCTGCCTTTTTGCTCTTTTCAGCTGTTTTGTTAATCTGAACGTTTCTGTGTTTCCATCAGTTTATTTCTGTGACGTTAAGCCTTGATGGTTTTTCAGCTACTTTCTGCACTTTAAGCTACGTCGGCTATTTTTCAGCTGAAAATACCTTTTGTTGTAATCGTAGCTTCTTATCGCTTATTTCAGGAAATAAGTGATTTTTTTTTGTTTGTGCTAATTTCAGCTACTTTTTAAGTCTATTTCTAGTTTCAGCTTGTTTATCTTCAGTAAAAATCATCTCTAATCGGTCACACTGCATTTCCACAGGAAATATAAATTCTGTAGTGTTGTAATTGAAACCAGCTCAGTGATTCAGCAGATATTTTGCTAACAGCCCTCAGACTCTTCAGCTGTCTCTGGTAAATCTCCTGTTTTGGTTTCTTACAGGAGCTCAGACTTTAATCCTCCTGTTTGTTCTTCGAGTCTCGTCTGATTCTCTGAATCCTTCCTGTCCCGTCTTTGTCTTCATGCTTTCCTCTAATGACTGTTTCCTCCTCGTCGGCCTCTTCAGAAGGACTTAGACGAGCCGTTAGATCAACAGAGGTGTGCTGCTGCTCTCACGCCGGCTTCTGATTGGTTGTTGGAGTGCAGCCTGAAAGGAGCGATCCTCCACCTTTGTGATTAATTTAGTTTTATTGTGAAAAACCAGTTTGTCCGTCACAAACAGATTCCAGTTTCTGTCTGAGTCTGACGGAGGCTCAGATTACCGAGCGTAATCCGATTACTCCTGGTTTCTCCTGGGGACGGGCGCTCACGCCACAGGTGGAGTAAGATAAAAAAATAAAAGCTCCAAGAACAGAAGCTTAGTTAGAAGTTAATGAAATGATCACACCTCGAACTGATGGAGCCGCTCTGATCTGATCGGAGCTGAAAGGTCGTGTCCACGCCACGCATCGCCGAGTCCTCGAACAACAGAGGAGGAAGACCCGGACCAGGATGAGTCAGAACCCCGCAGCGTTAAAAACTGGAAAGGTTAGAAGAAATCAGGCGTTTCAAGGTGAGAATCCAGTTTGTCAAAACATGTTGGAGCACCTGACCTGGACCTTTTGTTTGTTTACAACCTGCTGGATTTGAATTAAAAATACCAGTTTTTTTTTTTTAAGAGGGGCCTCACGGGGGTCACAGACTCCATCAGACCCGGGTGTTTCCCACACCGGCTTACAGCTAACCCCCTCTGTACCAACACACCCCCGAGCTGTTGGTTTAACGACCGTCACCAAGTCTGAGAATGTGGGTCCACGTCGAAGCCCAGATCCCCTCAAACCTGAATGCTACAGAGGGTCCGACCAGGGTCTCATAAATCCTCCAAACGGCTGAATAAAAAGCCCCGAGGCCTAAAGCCCACCCCGCTGTGCACCCAACATGAAGAAACTCCTAAAACATTTATTTTCTTCATTAAAACGTGTTTTTGTTCGACTCTTAAGTCCAGCTGCCTGCACCTCCTGTAGATGAGTTTTAGTTTGTTTGTTGTCTAAATATTTTGTTTCAGATCTCAGGTTTGGTCTGAGTTCAGGTTTTTTTCTTCCAGGCGGCACGGATGAACTCATCCCCGAAAATTCCTTCAAGAATTCAAAATATGACTTTGGCAGCATCGGCCTGGCGCTCTACAGCGGCCTGTTCGCCTACGGAGGCTGGTGAGTCCAAACATGCCGCTTCAGATTAAAGATGGGATTAATCCTGTTGTTTTTCCTTTTCAATGAGCTGAAACATTTCACAGCTGCTGACTTTCACCTGCTGTCTGGTTGTTTTACAGGAACTACTTGAACCTGGTCACAGAGGAGATGATCGAGCCGTTCAAGTGAGTTTTAAAGAGCAAGTGGGTTTGGATCAGGGCGTGTCAGATTTGACAAAGTCAGATTGTGTCAGATGTGACATGATGTCAGAGCCTGTCAGATGTGACATGATGTCAGAGCCTGTCAGATGTGACATGATGTCGTAGCGTGTCAGATGTGACTTGATGTCGGAACGTGTCAGATGTGACATGATGTCGGATCGTGTCAGATGTGACATGATGTCGGATCGTGTCAGATGTGACATGATGTCGTAGTGTGTCAGATGTGACATGATGTCGTAGTGTGTCAGATGTGACATGA